GGAGCTTCAAAGAGCATCGAGGATGTAGTGAACAGGACAAAGAACATCCAACACCGCAGCCACTTTTTCAACTCAATAGTGCTTCCTGCGCTAACGTATGCGTGAGAACTTGGTCGCTACGTAGACAGGATGAAAAATAATCCAGCGTTATTGAACGCGCAGTCGAAAGGACGATGCTAGGATTTCCCATTTTACACAAGTAAGGGAAGGGATCCGAAGCTTCGACCTGCGTCAACGATCGAAAGTCAAAGATACCGTTCTGTACGCCAAATAGTCGAAAATAAGGTGGGCCGGACACGTAATGCATGTGAACGACAACCGATGGACAAGAGCTGTTAGTGATTGAATTCCTCGCGATGTTAAACGCACTGCAGGAAGACCACCGACCCGGTGGTCAGAGTTCTTCATCAAAAGCCTAGAAGAAAGATATGATGCTCAACGATTCCCTAGAGAGAGCAGAACCCACTGATCTACTCACACCCGACAGGGAAAAATGGAAAATTTGCTGGTGTTGACTCGAGTCAATAGACGACGAACGGGACTACAGGTGATATCCATCGGCGATTTTCTGTCTTCTCAAAAAAAAAATCCCCATGGCACAGATGTGCTGCGGATAGATCTACAAGACGGCTTTCATTCTCATTTCGCTCTCCTATTCCGCGTTATTGTATCCTCCATTCCTTTCCGTTGGGTGTTCCTAATCCGGAAATGAAGTCCCCCACTACCAACTTGTAGAGAGAAAGAGAGGATACCTCATTATGGACTACTTCGTCCAGGTGGTTGTAGAACTCGTCTAGTTCGCTCTCATCGACTGTACATGTTGGTAAGTAACAGATGACGACAGTGACTTCCCTTTGACGCACAAGTTGAAGACGAATGGCCAAATGCAGTGAAAGGACTTCCTATGGAGTGGCTAGATGGGAGTGGATGGGAGTAAGACAAACCCGACGCATCTGGTGTTTCGTAGTGGAAAGTTCCCTCCACGAAGGACATAGGCGGCGTTGTTTAATTGGCGGATGTCGGTTCTCCTGCCTTTCGTCCCTTTTGTAGAGCGGCCACATGGAATTTGATCCGGCCAACTGTCTTGAGAAAGCGTAAAGGTCGGTGTCTAAGGAGACTGTTCTGGTGTTATATGTGCACAACATGAAACACATTCTATGGCGTGGCGCAGACGGGTTCGTTTTGTTCGCTTCCAAAGACGTCCTTTGCAACCCGAGAATTGAACGTCTCTCAGGCCACACCATATCTCAGCGCCCTACGTCGTAGACGGAAGGCCCAATGTATGGCGAACTAAACCGGAGTTTTCTCGGTTAAGCGACTGTGGTTTCCTGGAGTGCCGAGGTCACCTTAGCCGAAGTTTTGTTCAGGTCATCACCACCTCAGGCAGTCGCCGCCCTTGTGGATTGGACGGAAATTTATAGTTTGATACCAATGTAACCTTGTTTTACTCTCAGTTAGCCTTCTGGATGGAAACGTCGGACTCCTCAATTTCGGAGACCCTGCTAGAGGATGAACCTTTCGCTGTACATCGCAGTCCAACATCCAAGAACACCTCCCAGCCACATCGCGATTACGCTGTAAATCTTTGGTAGATCTTATTTTTAAAATTTCGCGAAGAAAATTTTCTTTTAAACAAGCGGTCATCATATCTACTGTGTGTACGATAGCACATCTTGCATTCGATTCGTTTTCCTCCCATTCATCGTCTAAAATTCTCCTCGAATATTTCGTGTCTTGTTGCGGCTGCTGTCTGAAGATTTCGTCTACCCTTCGAATGTCGTACAATGTTGGTCGTGTCGATTCTCCTTACCAATCTTGGAAATTGCCGGGCTAAAGCGTATCCATATGGATTAGAGGAGACTGTTGGGAAGAGGATCGAGCCAGGCCACCACCTAGCTTTTTGACGAACTGTTTCAATGACCACTCCGCTACTCCCCCACTTTGTTATATAAAGTCAAGTTTGCCAACCTTCCAACAAACCTGTTAATTATAATGTAAGAAAACCAGTATCCTAAGATTCAGCTCGTTCATAGTTGAACCAAATGCGTCAACGTTCGCCGTACCGACAATTTCTTGTTACATAAACGTGACTTTCTGTTGCATAACACGTTCGGAAATATTCAAGAAATCCATAAAAACTGAGTGTTAAAGTAGAGCTTAACACTAGCATTGGCTCAAAAAATTTTGTTCACCAAAAAGGAAGAAAAAATGGAGAACACTCACAATGATAGAAAAAATATCATGCACGACTTGGATAGTGGAATTTTGAAAGCTGCTTGACAACTGCAAACTTAAAAGGCTGTCAAATATATCAACAATCAAGAAATACCACCAATATAATTTATGCATAAAGTCTCCATACACTCCTGATCAAACAAACAACGAAACTGTTCACCCACATATAGAAGTTTTCCACATTTTTGAACATTGTAATTTAGACTGCACTCCACCTAATTAAATCCGATTCAGTAACACTTGACAAAGTAAGAAACCAGAAAATCTCAGAAATTAGAAATACCTCTCTTGTAACGTAGCAAGCAACGTAGCATATGGAAAATCAGAGGATAACACTACGAATGCTGCCAAAAGATGGAACAAAGTAAACAAAACTTTAAAAAGGGATAAAGAATAAAGCTCTCGGTGTTGATCAATCCCTGAGGGATGCGCCATGCATTCGACTTCAGTAAGCATCATTTGAAGGTAATTGAATGCATATTTGGCCTTTACAATGACTCGCGGTGGCCTACTGATGCGCCGAGCCAGTACTGCTATCCTCCCAGACAAGTCTGGTACCAATTTGCCGATACAGGAGGATGGAAGGCTTGGTGGGCCATGGGTGCGGAGATCGATTCCACGTGTGTGTTGCAGGGCGCCTCCAACGAGCAAAACTTTACGAAAAAAAAAACCAAAACAAAACGCCAAAACTTGACAAAAAATCGTCTCGTATGAAAAACTAACATATATGCATCGCAGTGCTTGTTTCAGAAGACGAAGTTCATATTTCTCAAAAAAAGAAACAGCAAATTGATTCCAAATTTCCTTAACACTTTATTTGGCACTTTTCCTAGTGGAGGAAGGTCGCATTTACAACAATCGTCGCACTATTCTCGCAAACGCTAATGATTGGTAAGTTCTTATCATAACTACATATTCAATAAAATCTGATCCGTGTCAGAAAGAAATAGGACAACTTTTTCTTAGATATAGAACTGTTCTCACATTTCACTTCGCCAATGCTTTGGTGGGATCGCCACCGTAAGGTAAAACTTTGAGCAATTACTACAGTACTGCTTTTTACCTCGTGGATAGTCCACAAACCTATAGTAAGTGAAAAAGGGTTATTTAATAAATAAAACAAAAGTGTGAAACGTATCTTGAATGATCTGTGAAGGAATGGCTAAAGGTACCACGGATGTCTCCGACATTCTTGTAAGTAAACAAATTAGTCATACTATATATAATAATATAATATAATAGCACACAATATGTATCATATTAGACATACTTGTGGCCTTTTGATCACAATAAATTACAATAAGTGTTCAGAAGGGAACATAGTAAATGCTCATTGCAACATAAGCGCCTAGGTTCTAGAAATGCTTTAGGTCCTTTTTGCAAAGAAATTTGTTGTAAACATGCCGCACAACCCATTATGAAAATAAATTCGACGACAGTATGTCAATTACAGTCACTAAACATACAATACGTGGAAGAAAAGAACAAAGACACGCCAGAATAAGTCACTAAAAATCCGAGATACTCCGCCTGAAACCACGTTAGAGCATAACTGATTTAAATAAACAATTGGCTGAACAGTTCGACAATAAAGAACTAACTCAATATATGGCAAACATTAGAAAGACAAAGAAAACAGGAAGAATAGAAGCACTCCAGTACTAGTTTTCTACATAGCTGAGCTGACACAAGGCTGATCTAAAGGCTTTTTCAGTTGTGGTTAAAAGCGACTTGACTAATTATCGTTATTAATGCTAATATAAAACTAAGTGATTCAACATCACCAGTACAAATTGCAGCGTAGAAATGAGGCGGCAAAACCTACATTTGATCACTAAGTCACTTGTTACTAGCGTTTTTTATAAGCCTACGAGTTGCACTTTTAGCAGCTTGGTGAACGATGAAGCTCTCGGCGTCGATCAATCCCTGAGGGATGCACCATGCCTTCGCCTTCACTAAGCATCGTTAGAGGTGATTGAATGCATATCTGGCCTTTACAATGGCTTGCAATGGCCTGAGAAACCTTTATGACTCGCGGTGGGCTACCAATATATCAAGTCAGTGTTGCTATCCTTCCAGATTGATCTCGTATCAATTTCCAGACAATAGACTGATGGAAAGCTTAACGAGTCTGGAGCACATGATCGATCTCGTGCGCCTCTGACCATTGCGCTACACGCGCCCTCTCTAGCGACTTAGAAGCTAGATAATGGATGTGCCAAAAGTCGCATTCAAATCTGGCATAACTTTCTATTGTGGTTCACCTTAATTTGCATACCTTAATCATAAAAGCACGCAGTACAAAAATCAAAGTCAAAAGTCAAAGTTTTTACTACCAGTTATAGTGAGTAGCACAAACGAAAATAACAAGGACGTACTGTTTGAAATTCATCCGTCTCCTTTCCTTTGATGTTTTGTTGAAGCAAAGAAGGCAATTTTGAAGGAAGGTCGACGTCGATCAAATCTGGCATGTCATCTACACCCTCCATTGGCAGATCTTCGTTCATTTTGCTGAAAATGTCATACGGGCTCAGCCCAAGAGTACGTCAACTCGACCGAACGTTATGCAGTAAACATATGAATAACTCGGACTGTTGAACAGACCGCAAACCAATACAATTGAAAAAGTGCTGTGAATAATTTTCTTTTCGACAGAGCAATAATAACAGAAATAATGGTAACCAAACAACAATGAGAAAATAAACAACAACAGAGCACCACTAAATATCACTGATACAGCAATAAAACATTGAGACGAGTAGGAACTATTGGCCAAGACGCATTTGATTCCATGTGAAATTCAGAAGTGATATTTCCCGTCTCGAATTATTAAGCCGTTCCATATGCCTCAAAAAGAACACAGTATATAAGTAGCCTTGCAGACCCTGAGTGTTAACATAATACTGTAGAAGAAAGGAAGTAGTATTAACAAGAAATTTGTATTAAAATAAACAGGCACCTCCTGGTGTATGGAATCAGTGACTCTAATATTGACCCTATATTAGGAAGTTCCAAGAATTTCTCGGGCGGTAACATCCTTAGTAAGCAATTTAACACACTCTGACTTGCCTAAAAAGAAAATTTGGCGTCTAATACTGGAATTGAAGAGGAGAACGGTATTCTAAAAACATAACAGAATGGGATAGAATAGAAAATAGAAAGCAAAATGAACAGCTTAGTTAAGGAATCCGATAGCTAACTTTCCCACCAAAGAGGTTTTGCTGGTTGTGTTCCATTCAGTAACAAAATCTAGTAAAGTCTGCAATCGTTGGTGATCCAGTTTCATTAGAGCAGGCATCAACTCCTCACGGTCACTTAATCTCTCAATAACCTGTAACACTGATTATTAGATGAAACGCTAAAACATTTAGTATTAAATACGTGAAAGCACCTGAAATAGTAAAACTGGACAACAAAGATGAATAAAGAGTAACAAAGCAAAGAAAAGCCAAGAAGTAAATGAATGGAACTCGAACAAAACAAGACGAGTATGCTATGATTTAAAAAAGACCTTCAAAGTGCAGAATGGGCGTACAAGCCCGAGCGAATATTCTAGCGCCTCCCGAAGTCGATCTTGTTCAAGGAGGTTGTTAAGCGTCTGCAAAACATTAGTACTCTATTAACAGAACGTTGAGACAAAGAACAGCACGAAAATTAGCTGTACAGTGTTTCCTTTTAACCTCTATAATTTATAGGAAAGTTGAAGAACACATGACTTCCTTCTTATATGTATCAGACCTGTTCTTCTTCCATGTGTTTCTTCAATTTAACCTCTTCATCTCGTTTCCGATCATCAGATACATCTCCCCAAACGAGTATGCTTCCATCTGCTCCAGCTGTGACATATTCACTCTCATTGTTATTCACAAGCAGCGCCCAAATCTGAAGAAAATTCTAATTGTCGAACTGTCCATAACTACCCACAGATTGAAATTTTATTTCGTGAACTGTATTCCAAAACAAACTTATCACATACTTTATATTTTCGACTTGTACGGTGCTAGTCTCCTTAGTTGTCTAACTTAAAAACGGATTCGTTCATGCATAATATTCGCAGGAGTTTTTCTGATTACATATCTTCGATTTGACAAACGATTATGTCGAAGCATGAACCATAAATCACTTTTTGTGAGCCAAAAATACATAACTAAGCGTCGATCAATCCCTGAGAGATACGCCATGCATTCGACTGCAACGCTATAGGTGACTGAATGCATATCTGTCGTATACAGAGACTCATGGTGGGCTACTCTATCAAGTTGGGGCTACTATCCCCCAGAGAAATCCAGTACCACCTTTGTCGACCACGGTGGAATGGACGGCTCGGCGAGTCTGGGGCGCGGTATCTACCCCACGTGTATTAAAAGGCGCCTCCAACCAGTATCTGCAGACGCTCCTGCAACGTGTATATATGCTTACTTGTATTGTTGGATGGCCAGTCTTCACTAGTTGTGCGGACGCCAGCACAGTCTCCACTTTTCGGAGTTTTGCTCGTTTAAGAACTGTGGTACCTCGGAACCCCGAGGTCAACCTAGCCAAATTCTGCCCCAGATCGTCACCACAACAGGCGGTCGCCACCCTTGCACGTTGGAGGGAGATTTGCCACCAGGCGACTAATTTGATACCAAGACGGTGGTGGATTCTGGTATTGGTTTACTGTTACCTGGACTTCCTGATAGAAACGCCAGACTCATTCTCAACTTGGAAGGCCCTGCTGGGGGATAAATCCTCCGCCCTACATCGCAGCCCCGACTCGCAGTAACACATCACAGCCATGATGAGGCGGTAAACCGTTGGGAGCATTATATGTATATATACGCATATATATAAGTATACATATATGTACATATATATGTGATATAAATATGTATGCGTGTGTGTGCGTATATATACATATATGTACACATATACATATATGCACACATATATATGTATACATCGGAAAATTCGGTCAACTTCATAAACCTCGTGTCGGCTTAACAATCCAAGAAGGCACAGTATACAGTACAAAGTACACTACGTTAGTTCCTGTCTTTGAAAACGAAATAATTTATGCAACTAATGTCAACTCCACCACTTAAAGAACATTATAGGATATTTGGCAGCATAAAATATTTGCCCTACGAATTCTATCTCTTCAACACATTTAAGACTCACAAAATAGAAAGGATAAAGAAGTGTACCCTGTCAGTATGCGCTTCCAAAGTACTGTTCGCTTCAGATGTAGCCAACGACCAAATTTTTATTATTCCTGCACTGTCTGCAGATATTAGTTGTGAACCACGATTAACGAATAGTATCTGCAATGTAGGTTTGTGAGAGAACAAACGAGCAAGTTGAATAACACAAAGGCAACAACCCTAAACACTGCTGAATTATGTCCATTCAGCGTTTGTAGACAGATCTTTTCTGAAAGCGACCAAATTTTAATAGTCATGTCACCACTGGAAGAGGCGGCCTTCTGAAATGATTCGCTTTCCTTCCCAGAATCTTCACATAAATACACAAGTAAGTCAAGCCATATGAACTTAAAAAAGGAAAGTTTTTGCAGCTGTTGGGAAATTATCTGAGGTAAGGGAAAAAATGGCTGTTAAAGCACTAACTAGAGAGTTGGGAGAAAACTTCACATCGCCGACACCTCTGCGATGACCAGACAGTGTTCCAGCAATACCAAGACGCATCTTTACCTGGTCGATATGCCATAACTTCACCATTTTATCTAAGCTAAACAGTAATCCTGCCGTGACAATCAAGGCTAAAGATATCGCCATCTGATGACAGTATGATATAATAGTCATAAAGAATCAATCATAAAAGACCCGTGATCTTGTTGCAAGTAAATGAAGAGCAATTGGTGGCGATAACTAACCTTTAACATAATTATTCTAGTCCTCTTTCACTGAATCTGATAAGTTATTTACACAGTCTTTTTATGGTGTTACTAAATCCTTCTACTATGTTTTGCACTAATCTGACTGTCAACTCTTTCACGACCGAGAAAACTTCCACGTGGCAAGCCCACATGACCCCGTGTTATTGGAACGCAAATGAGATGCTCACTGAAATCCAGATGCACAGTCCGAAACGTATAGCAGCGTACATATTGAAATCAATGCGCATAGTAATGAAAGGGTTAACTCGTGCTTTAATAAAACAACCGGAGGGCAACATTTAATAAATAATAAAAAACGAAACCCTGAGTGAACTGACCACTTTCCCAATCAAAAATTCTATCTAAATGCTGTACATATTCAGTTAATTTCATGAAAAGAACGTATAATCCCTCACCCTCCAGTTATACAGATGGAATCAGAAAGAGAAACGTCAACAGAAGTCACCTCCTTGCCATGAGCAACGAGAGTCGAAGAACATCCAAGTTTCCGACTACAACTAGAGGTAACAGAACAGGAAACTTCGAGAAATGTACCAATTTTTAACTCACATTTCTTTGACAGTTGTGTCAACCTCCGTTAAGGGAGCAAAATCAAGAAGAGACCACAATTTAATCGTTGTGTCCGTCGACACGGATACCAAGAATGGTCGTTTTCCAGAATGAGAAAAGCACACAGCGTTTACTGAGCTGGTATGCCCTGTTGCATAAACAATCGGCACCAATTTACACGTCGTCCCTTGAATGTGATTGAAAACGTGAAATAAAAACCAATCAAGGGAAACAACTACACTCATAACTTCGTTTAAAACTACTCAAATACGAGATTGAAACTTTTTGATGAATGTGCTGAAACACGATATTTAAGCGATAAACGATAAAAGAGAAAGCTTTCGGCGTTGAACAATCTCTTAAGGAAGCGTAATGCATTCGACTTCACTACAGATCGTTGGAGGTGACTGATTGCATACCTAGCCTTTACACTGACTAGCGGTATCCTACCGATGTATCGTATCGATCCAGTGCTGGTATCCTTCCAATACCAATTTGCCGACCGTGGAAGGAAAGAGGGCTTGTGAGCCTGAGGCGCGAGGATCGAATCCATGTGTATTGCAGGATGTCTCCGATCACTCCGCTACACGCTCCCCATATCTAAGTAATAGCTATGAAATTACTCACCATTGAACATCCACAGAATAATTGATCCATCTTTACTTGATGAGGCAAGCAGACATCGATTAAATGGAGCAGTTGTGACGCACAAAACACTATCGCTATGGCCTGAAAGCATATAAAAATTAGTACCAATAATGGTTCCCGATGAAATGGCTGGAAACACAGCTCAGAAACTATCTCACTCAAAGCCAATGTGAAGTTAGCTCAGAAATAAACTAATTGGAATGTACTTTCCTTCGTTGATAAATTAACACAAAGTTGTCACCAATATGTTAGCCAGAGGACATCTACTTGGGTCATTGGCTCCGAGAAAGACGAAGACCTCGAAACCTTAGCCGAATACATGTTGGTAGAGAAACCTCGTATTAGCCTCGTATTAGTTTATCAATGAAGAAAGGTGCATTAATCATTTATACCGAGATTTAACGAAAGCCGCGTTACTATATTGTTACTAGTTAGAATATTGAAAAGTTTTGAACAGCTTCATTTAGCAACTAAACTGACTTCCGATAAACAATAAGTAACGTTAGAAGTTGATTTCTGGCAAATTACTAGTTATTTTTCGAAAGTAAGGAAACTCGGAAAGTTGAAAATATTATCGAAATGAAGGTGAAAATTTTCTATTTTATAGAATTTTATAGATTTATAGAAGGGAATACTCTCATCCATTTAACAGTGAGTGTAGTTTTTTTTAAACCGTTATTTAATTCTCAAAGTTGTTTAGTGGAATCCCCCTCTAAGTGGAATAGAAATGAAATATACATCTTTAGAAGTACAAACGAAGTCCTGAGAGATACAACGATGAACAACCCATTTAGACATATCATTGTGCTGCAACGGATGTAATACACTTGTTTATCCACTTTCATTTTCGAAATGCAAACGTCGACGAAAAAAATGACAGAAGTACGACTTTTGCGCTCCACAAAATGAGGATTTCATCTTGGTCGGATAAGAGATCTCGCATGTTATCAGCAAAAATTGTAGGTGTAATGATTCGTATTTCAATCAATAACACAATCGACAGCGTTCACTTTGAGTTAAAACATGTTGGTTCGAAATTGAAAATGACCGCTATTTTTGCACCATATGAGGCGGACATAAGTTCAACACGGAGCATAAGTGCAACAACAAATAGCCAAGACACAAAAAGAATACCTTCGACAACTTGGCAGTCCCAGGTTCTAGTGTCGTACAGACGAATTTCTTTAGTATTTGATGAAACAGCTAAGTGCGTCTCTTCGTTATCGAGCAAAGCGCAGGAATAAATCTAGATGTTTTGAGAAATCTAAACTGAATCGACAATAGAACAAGATTAAATAGTATACCTCGTCATGAAATCCAACTATCTGTCTCCCCACCGATAACTTATCGAACAGCACAAGGAAAATATTCTCTTCGACAGTCGTAATGAGAAGTTCATTGCGAACAGCGTTAAGTTTCACAGAATCGAGTCGCACACTAAAATGTCAGTTAACTGGACTATCCTTTCAAAGGAAGCATCGCCAGTTTTCTTCTTTTGATAAACCTTAGCGTTTAAAACTAGCATTGTAAAAGATATTCCACATCTAAGAACTTGAAAAACACCGACATTCAAATTACCCTGTGATTTTCTTGGATCGGACAAGCCGAGCAGAATCAATAAGCCATTCCTTTACAGTTCCCTCTTCGCCGACTGTAATCAAGTTTCCGTTCTGGGCAAGCGTAGCCGATTCGATAGCTTCGAATAGTGGAAATACCTTAATTGATCTATACAATGAAAAGGAGACACATGTTCATACACACAGAAGGAACAAAAAGCTACTAACCTTCAGAACTTCTCTTGTTTCAGATTCTATAACAGAAGCAGTTTGATCACGAGAAACCACAACAACATGACGAGATCTAGGCAGCTCAACGAATCCAGTGATTCGACTATAATCGTTAGAAAAATTGTAGGAAAACCGCCTTCGTATCCTACGCAACACTCCACTTTGGAATTCAAAACAGCAGACTACATAGATAGTAGCAGCCCTTTGAGAACATTGAGGTACCCATGACAATTTGCACTCACATTATTTCCCCGCTACCGCCGTCTACAACAATAAATCGTTTGCTACAGATGGCGATCAAGAACTGCATATCGTCATCCATGACTCATGCACTACCACTAATATAACACGCTGATCTGAGTTACAAATATGTATCGCCATCATTTCATTATCCCTGAACGGCCCTTACAACCCCTTGAGGTTCACCGCTCTTCTTGTCACTGACTCTTCAGTATTCGTATGCAAGGTAAAACCCGGTGAGTGACGAAAATGGCACATTTAACAAATGTCAAAGCCCATCTTGAAAGATTTATTTTAATATCATATGTGGTGTGCAAGAAATTCAATGTGGTTAAGGCATTAGCTCACGTAAAAACTACCATAGTGTGCTGGAGGAAATGGAAAATAGAGAACGATGAACATGTATCCAATTCCGGTAATTGGTCAGTGGCTTATGCAGGATTTAATGCAGTCAGCGCAGTCTCTTTGTTGGCAGTTCCGCCAAATCGTTTACTGTCCATATCACAAAGTAAATCCAATTTCAATTTCCTGGTGATACCACTCTTTTCCTGAGATTAACCGATTCCCTTGATCACTGCCTCTGTTCAACTGATGCAGCAAGAAGAGTGTTAAATTTAACTTTAGCAAAAACAAGATGTTTTAAGGAAGTTATTCATATGCTTGTCGCTTACGTTTTAACATATCAACGCCATTATCCACAACAGTGCGCTAATGAATAGATTCAACACTTGGCTTCTAAGAGATGTCTTATGGATACCAACCTTTCCGCTGTTTCTGGATTTTGAAACGAAGAAAAACAGTGGATCGCTGTTCAATCCCGAGGTTAAAAGAAAGTAGATTTTGGGATTTGAAGTAAAACTATCGTCAGCTGTTATGCACGGTCACTACCACTATCTCTGGAGTTATTTCTGTATCCAAAAATTACTTCATCTGCAAATATAAAGTACCACGTAAACGAAATTTTGCACCAAGTGTTCATTATCAGACCTATGAAATGGAGAAAATTTGTTGGTAGCAGAAACTGGAGAGTTCAAAGGTAAAAGATTTTATGTAACGAGTTACTTCCTCCAACAAATCATAAGAAGCTCCTGCAGTCTAATGAAGCTGTGCTGGGAAAACATTGGTGCATGGGAAAAAAACAGGCGCTACAATGTGTTGCGGACTTGGTACTTTCGCTCGTATATACCCCAATCTTTCTGGCTCTACTTAACATTGCTCCTTCTCATCAAAAAGGAAGAACTAATAAATAAAAGTCAAGAAATTTCTGAAATGTGTTTCAAAACCTAACCTACTGTGTACCTTCCACTCTCGTAACATCTTTTGGATAGCGCCTTTGACTAAGTCGAACATTCGCACTTCTCCTCCCATATATCCCACCATGAAGCGGCTATTATGTATGAATGACATAGTCGAAACCACTCCAACGCCCTTTAGTGTATTTGTGCAGTGCTGCTGGACTAGATCCCAAACCTTAAAAGAGATCAATAACAGTACAAAAAAACCATCAGAATACTGGACATCACCACCTTAACGTTATGGTCGGCTGAACCGGTAGCTAACAACGTACTATCGGCGTTAATACTCATACACAGAATTGGAGCTGTGTGCATTGTCTTCCAAGTACGGGCCAGTGCAGGAGAAGTTCCAAGCAGAGCATATTCACGGACCTACAACAAAAACTCTAAACATAATCAGCAATAGTTAAGAGCATTACCTCTATGTAAAAGCACTACTGATATCTTAGAATTGGCAAAAACATCAACTTACGACTTGGTTATTATACGCAACAAGTAGACTGGAACGATTTTCGTCGACGCAAATACAAGTGATGCGAAGGCTTTCATCTGGGTCACCGATGACAAAGCTAAAAGAACAAAATGTTAGCCTTTCATCTTCTATTTTATTGATACTGTTATTTCACTATCACTTATTATTATTTATCTTATTACCTACCATTATCATATTTTTATTTTCCACTTATTTTTTACTTTCCTACTTAATTTGTTACTGCCAACTACAAATTTTCGCACAACGGCATTGTGCGAAACGGAACCACAACGATGCTCAGACTTTTGCAAAACTCCAGACCGCAGGTGTCTACGATGGGGATCGAACTCTCTGCTACCCTTTCCGGTGGCTAAGGTGTTCAGCACCACACCATGCGGGTGCTTTGTTTCGCCTTTCTCTCAGCTAGTTTTCTACCTAACAGTGCCATCGGCAATCATCCGTCAACGGATACAGCCTCATCTTAACTGGGTTCAATGCCGATTTGTGCACTCCAGATGAATCCCACTTACGTGTTATTGATAGCACCTAGAGAAACGGCTGAAAGAAAGGGAAAACAGAGGGCCCGCATGGTGTGGTGGTGAACACGTTGGCCCCCAGGAATGGTAGCAGAGGGCTCCACTGCACACCTGCCCACCGGAGCTTTGCAAATAGCTCGGCATCATTGTGACAGCTGAGAGATGTTTGGAATCTACTTTACTGTCGCGTTATGCAAACCGGCTGATAACATAATCTATAACTAAATAGGACAAAACACACCTCAAGAGATTATTGTCCAAGTTAATCGCTTTTACGACATTCGAGCACATCGAGTACAAAGTGCTTCCATCAGCACTCCATTCCACATTTCCACCCGTATAGACAGCTTCGATGCGCCGTTTGATTTCCAGATCACGAACAACATGTTTCATAACGCCTTTCTGGAACACTAAACTCTAAGACTGCCCGTATCTGACCTAGAGTTGTATTCTTTTATACTTTGTATTCGAATTAAAACAAAGTGAAGAGCATAGAATGCACTGATGAGTGTGGGATGATGAGTGGTGCCCCCAAACGGTTTACCGGCTTATCGTGGCTGGGAGGTTTTCCTGGGTGTCGGCCTACGATGTACAGCGGAGGGATCGATCCATCCTCTGGTAGAGTCTCCCAAGGTGGGAAGACGTCTGGCGTTTCCATCAGGAAGTCAGACGCTAAGGGTAAACCAGTGCGAGGATCCACCACCGTCCTATATGAAACTAGTCGCATAGTGGCAAATCTCCCTCTGATCCACAAGGGTTGCGACTGCCTGTGGTGGTGACCACCCGGGGCAGACTTTGGCCAGGAAGTCTAAGGAAACACCATGGATAAACCGGCAAAACTCCGAAAAATAGAGAATATGCTGGGGCTCGCACAACCAGTGAGGACGGGGTGTCCAAGTACCCAGGGAAGAAATGAGTGGTGATAGATCGGCAACCGAAGATCATTCGATACACTTTTAGTATGGATTAAAATAAAATCGATGTAGCAGACTTGTAACCATACGATATCTAAACAAAACTTTAAACTGATATGCTAACGTTTTAAGATTTTGCTTGACTAAAACCGCACATATGTTTTGCTGTCCCGGATGGAATCCCTCGAAAACATTCAGCAACCACTATGATGCTGAGACATTTGAAAAATTTGAACCTCAGCCGAGATTCCAACCAGAGATTACCCTTTCCGGAGGGTCATGTGTTTCCCACCGCACCACTGAGGCCATTGCTTTGCCGTTCTCTGTTTGTTTTTACCTTTTGTCTATTTTTTACCCAGACGAAGCCACCAGCTATCACCAGTCAATGGGTATGATCTGGGGAGCACGCACAGGAATTGAACCCAGCTAAGCTGGGGCTGTAATCGAAGTCGTAATGTTTAACTTTTTACTTACTGCCAATAAACTGGCCGACTGAAAGGTAAAGCGCTTCAGTGGTGCAGTGGCTAACACGTAAGTGCCCGGAAAGGGTGGTCGTGGGTTCGAATCCGGGCTGTGGGCTAAGTCTTGCAAATATCTAAGCATGGTAGTGATTGCATTTCCCATCGTAAAAATAGTAATAGGCAGTAAATAAAAGTAAACATTATTCAGCAGATATTTCTTGAACCGAAATTCATTTAACCATCATTCATTAACATCATTTCTTGGATTGCCAACCTCGTGTCAGCAAATAATATTTGATTTTTTTCTTTAGGATTAGGTGAAATGCTATCCGCTCATTTAAAAAAGGATAAAGGTTTCGGTGTTGATCAATCCCTGAGGGAGGCGCCATACATTCGACTCCATTCGTAGCATCCTTGAAGATGATGAATGCACATCTGGCCTTTACAATGACTCGCGGAGGCCTACCGATGTATCGAACCAGTGCAGGTATCCTCCCAGACAAGTAAGAATTTGTTGACCCCGAAGGGATGTAAGGCTTGGTGAGCCTGAAGGGCGAGTATCGATCCCATGTGTATAACGCAGGGCGCCTCCGACCACAGCGCTACACGCGCCCTTTATCTCATTTAAAGCATATAATAATGACAACGAAAGTACACGTTTTGCACCTAGAAGTTAACATTACAAGGCAGAGGTCTTATAAACCACAAAGATACTTGAAAAGTAAAAAAGTAAAAACTAAAGCAGTAAAAAGCAAGCTATAAGTTACTAAAAAGCCATTACTGAAACGAATTACTTCATTCGACGACGAGTTCCTCGTATACGAGTAATCCCAGAGGAAGGAATATACGAGTTACGGCACAAACTGTAGGCCAGCCTTGTGTGGAAATTCCACGGCCACGACACATAGTATTGCGCCTAACTACGTGTGGTGGTGGGCTGGAATTGCGTCTGGCCTTTCGCCGTGTGCGGTTTGCGTGGGGAAGATTCTTTGTGGGGTCTTCTCCTTTTCTTGCAAATTACCGGGTGTAGAGAGTGTATTCTAGAGAAACATTTAGCATAGCACCTATGTTGACGTAGGTAGCGCAACGGTTAGTGGTTACCTGCAATACAAACTTAGTGATTGGTTCGATCCCACGCAGAGCGTACCAACCTTCCATCTCTCCAGGGTCAGCAGATTGGTATAAGACTGGTCTGGGAGGATAGCAGCAATGACTAGATACATCGGTAGGCCTCCGCGAGTCATTATATAGGCCAGATATGCATCCTAACATCTTTGGCGATGCTTCATGAAGTCCATCGCATGGCGCACCCTTCAGGGATTAATCTACACCTGACGTTTTGACCCTTAACGCTTTCTCTGTGTTGGATAGCCTGACAATTATTCGACAACATTCGTAAAGAAGCCAAAAAGTCCTTAGGACTTCGTGGACGATCTCGCTATGGACTAACCATCATGGTTCTGAATGACGGACGACTATTAACAAGTCCGTGACAGATCTAAAATTAGGCGTTGGGCATTATTTATTACAACAGTCGTTCGTATTGGGCAGTATACTCAAGAGTGAAGGTGAATAGTGGTACTACTGGCAATACTAGTAGTAGTAGTACAAGTGACAAACCCGGTCGACAAATAACGCGCTCCACTGAGGTGGTACGACGTTCCTCAGTAACTGTGTGGTTCGACATCCATGGGGGAAGCACATGAGATCTTGTCCCTTCCTAGCTGGTGAACTTATCTGTGAAGTGTCCTAGTTTAGTACTAAGCGAAAAAAGTGTTAAGAGCTGACGAAGTGAGCAGGCATGTTTATTGTACCTATCGTTCTTTGGTTATCGTCTGTTCTACTTACCGACATGGTACTACTTATTTTTAGGCGATGTTTTGAAAGGCAGGCTTTGGTTTTCGGTTTCCTGACCAGTTCTTAAGAATTATTCGGTACTCTTTCCCTCAACGGTCGTCGTCATGCTTCGAAAATGTTATTTCATCACGCGGAATTGCTCTGCGAAAGCTCTTATATTCATGGTCATTATATTCTCAGCGTTTTATCTAATATTGCTAAAATACACTGGAAGCAGGTGAGCCTACGTCATATATAGTTTTTTTTGAAGATTTAAGGTTAAGTAGGGTTACGATAATTGACGAGTTGCGTCGAGGCATTTCTGTTCCTTGTCTGTAAATGGGGTAATTTAATGTTTCAGTCACCCACGGTATACGGGAAGTGCACAACAAGGATTTCACACTGTGGCTGAAATGAGAAGGAATGTCGGAAACGCAGGGTATAGTAATTTGAAAACTTTTCCAAAGGCCAGATAACTCATCTTCATACGGTGTTCTTTTCAAGTAGTGTAAGTGGTATCTATGGGGAGGAATATGGGCGTTAGATCATGGGCCTTGTCATTTATGTGTAATGTTTATAGGAAACGCAACAGTTTACCGCCTTATTGTGGCTGGGAGGTGTTCCTGGGTGTCGCTGTGTGACGTATAGCGAGGGATTCATACTCTAGCAGGGTCTCCCAAGCTGAGAAGTCCAGCGTTTCCATCAGGAAGCCCAGTTAAGAGTAAACTAATACCAGGATCGACCATCTTTGTATCAAACTAGTCACATGGTGGTAAATCTTCCTCTGATCCACGAGGGTGGCGACTGTTTGTTGTGGTGACGACCTGGGGCAGACTTTGGCCCAGTTGACCTTAGGACTCCAGGGAACCACAGTGGCTAAGGCAGCAAAACTCCGAAAAAATGGAGATAATGCTGGGGTTCGCACAACCATTGAAGACGGACCATCCAAGTATCCAAGCAAGTACGTTTATGGGAAACTAGAGGCATCGTTGAATCAAATAAAGCGAGAAAAAGAAACGGCCTTGGACAGGTTTTTATTGTTATTTTGTTCTCTTTTTAGGTCTCACATTTTGGATGAGTCTGATCCTAAGGAGCTTGAGATTGCTCGACAAACATTAACGTTTTTAAATAGCTTTGAAGAAATTATTGGTGCTAAGACATTGGAGAAATCGGGGCTTACTACGTATGTCTAGTCATTTGATTTCTTGTTGCATATTTTTTTTTTACTACATTTTACTTTCTTCGTGTTCGTGAACATGTTCTCTCAAGTTATTCTTGTCGTAAACTCTTAACATTTGATGGATTTTCAGTTTAACTGATGGGCTTTGTCCGGAAACAAGTTCAATTCCTGATTTTCGAGGTTCACTACCACAAGCTGTGTTGTTGATCGAAAATCTCCAGGAAGCTGACGTTGTTGCTGCCCACCCTGAAGTGGAACTTGGTGGGGAATGGAAACCGACTGATTGCAAAGTATTTTTCTATGTATTTTGGTTTCATTTTAAAGCGCAAATTCAAAAGCACCACAGCCTTTGACTTTCCATTTCATGCTTTTCAGCAGGTATCCTTGAAATAGTCCTTGAGTTGTCTGGAAATACAAACGTCTAGGAGTGTTACCCTAATTTTATGATGTGTAGTAAAGTGCTGAAACAACTGAGAAGTCTACATCTTCTGGTCGTAGTTCATCAGCCTGATTCCCTTCCGAGCTAAATCCAGTATCTTCTTATTCCTGCACTGATGTAAATCTGCGTGTAGAAACTTGTTGCAGCTGGTCTTGTCGGACCTGGTGCATTCCTGTCGCATTATTATGCGGTTTTTTTCTCTTGGTCAACAATTCCTTGGCATTCATTGAAATAATGTTCAGATTTCTTAACAAAATCTGAAACGTCAAAGTGGTCAAAACGTTTTTCTGTTTAATAAAAACTGCGACATAAATATTTAGTTATAAGGTTTTCGGTCCATAGATACCGATGTAAAGTTGCTGTATAACAATCAGGTTAGCTTTAGTCTTTTGCAATCCGTTTTAATCTGACATGACTCTGAAGGTCGGAAAAATTAGGTTTTAAAATACTCTAGTGTTGTAATTGCAGAGCAGTAAACAGTTTGATGGACGTGGTTTACTATAGTTCCAATGACGTCCATCGCAATCATATTTGACCGCTTGACCGGCAATTTCACAAGGCTGGTCTTCTGGACGTGAGTACCCCGTTCTGGGTCCAATCTTTTGTTAGTTGGGCACGTTTCCTTCCACGAAGTTATAGAACAGGCCGTTCCAAGGCAACCAAATTCTCGCGACAAATAGTCGACTGCCGTGGTAGATAGCACTACCGCTTCTCCCATTGTCACTGTTTAATAACTAATCCTCTTTATTACCCATAATTCAATAGTAGTTGCTATTCTGTTTCTCGTTTTTGAAACTGCCAACTGCTGAAAAAGGTAGTTTCATAAACTATTCAGGTAGGCTTGAGACCTCGGAAGAAATGTTGTTCTTTTTCAATCATATGATTTTCCAAAATCTTTCCACGATAGGTAAAAAGCTAGCTGCGGCTGTTATTAATAGGGCAACCAAAACTACTAGTTTATCTCAACTTTCTGCGAAATCACAGAATCTTGGGATAGATGCATAGTGGAAAGTTGGTCATTTTCTTTGCCTGCGACTACAATTATGCTTTCAACTACTTGAAACTTAAAATCGCAAGAGTTCCACCAGTTTTTTTAATCTGTGTTGGTGCTATCCTCTTATACAAGTCTGGTACCAATTTACCGACTCCGGAGGGATGGAAGCCTTGGCGATCCTGGGGTGCAGCACCAATCCCATGTGCATTACAAGGCGCCTCTGACCACAGTGCTGCACGCACTTTTTATCCTTTTATTTTACTATATTGCTATATGGACAGCAATAGTCTATGTTGTGTCTTTCTTATTTCAACATTTAAGTGCTAGTAATCGGGATTTGAGCAAAACATGTTGACTTTGAAAACAATGTTCTTTAATGTAGCCATGACAAGACATAGTGTACTTTTTGAGTGTGTCATGTTAAAGATCAACCCCACGATACCGCATCGGAAGTTTTTTTGACAGGATGCTTTACTTGGCCCCTAGCTACGTGCCATAAGAACAATTCTTATTATGTCATTTTAAGCGAGGTTCCTGAATGTCTGAGAATATAACTTTACATCCTGGTTGAATTGTTTTAATTTTTCACACCTCTGTCCACCATTCATTGCTGCCTGCTGTCATGCTTTCACAATGTTTCACTTTGTTAGATTTACCTCTATTTTCGTCTTTTTTCTTTCCTTCTACTTTTGTTTTCTCTCCTAGTGTTTTTATTAAGTTGAAAAAGAACCTCGAGCAACGTTTTGTTTATAATAATACATGTATAATACATATATATACATATATATGTATCTATGCATGTGCATACATGCGTATGTATATGTGCATATATACGCATGTATATGTATATATGTATATGGCAATTTAAATCTTTCATGTTTAGGCGCGTCACAGAGTGGGTATCATTGTTCCCTTTCGTGATCGTCAAAGTCATCTTACGCGTCTGCTGGATTTTCTCATCCCTATTCTTCAAAGACAGCGTTTGGACTTCCGATTTATTGTCACTGAACAGGTTATTTTTTGAGATGTTTGTTGTTCCCATATCAAATTCCTTCTATCTTTTATCAACCCTGGAAAATGTTTAATAGGAACTAGTGGCAGCCCACATCACAAGTCATATATAAACAATACGTGGTAAACACTGTGATCATATGATTCATTCATTTCATTTATGGCTGCTTGCTTCACTCACAAATTTTTCTTCCCTTGGCTTTATACTAATTCCATGACTGATCCAACGTACAGCCCAGATACTTTTACTAACGATTATCAGGAAAAAGGCTATGTTATACACTCAATAATATGCGGAAAACTTTCTTTTTGAGCTTAGTCGTCTGATTTGGATCTCATGGCGAAGTATTGGTAAGCGTGGAACTAGAATGTCTTGATGTTAACGTTTAGCGATATCTTGAGAGTTGTTCAGGTGTATTCGTATAAGGTTAGACAATGTAGTGGTAGTGGTGCCGTTCTGTACGACCAAGGTGCTGGTTCGACTTCACTAAGTTTCCTTTCCCTCCGTGGTCGAAAAATTGTAATCAGACTCTCCTGCGCTCAGCCGGGTGTTACCAATCCACAATTCGTGTTTTCCTATGATGAAGATCTTGGAAGGCCTTACTACGGTTGTTCCAAAATACAATGTAGAATGGACCAAGCGAACATTCACCTATTCCCAAAGAGAACAGGCAGCAAACCCAAAAATTCGAAGGCTTTCCTGGGTAAGGATGCGATGGAACTAATCAAGTGCAAGAATTGTTAGAATTGGTACTATATGTGATGTTCCGTAGGTAAAATGAAAAAAATAACTTGTATAGTAGATGTTTACTCCACAATGTTTCGGTCTTCACAGAGTGTATCTCTACACGGTACCTCTTTGGAGATTTAACAGATTCCTAACTGTTATTCTCATAATTCTCCACTACTTTTGCAACCGTCTTTCTCAGTGCGCAGTATACGGTTTACAATGTACACGTGACATCTGTAGTTTTATATTCCAACAAAATAATGTATTCTTATTTTGCCTGAATAAATTACTAACTTGCTAGAGCCCAGGAACCATTTTTTGCTCTTTTCCTAGGCTTTTATCTCCGATATTGAGAAAGTTTAAACGATGATATTAAGTCCAACACGACCCGATGGTGTACCTCTAGTGCATCGTTATTGTGCTCGAAAAAGTTGAACAAGCGGGGTTTCGTCCAATGCGACCCTCAGGTAAATCTCAGTGCACTGTTGACGTGCTCTAAATTTTTTTAAAGTTCAACTTTCTTACCCGGTATTTGGGAGTTTTTGAAAATTCCAGTTTCAAAGTAGTTTCAGCTCAGTTAAGATTGAGATCGCTTAAGATGAAATCGCAAAAATTTCTTTTGTACCTTTAAAGGGATAGAATAAAGTCTCTTCTAGACGTTTGTAAAGTTATCAACTTTTCAAGTACTTTAATTATCGGAACATTGTCGGCAACTATGGAAAACATGAATCGTCGGTTATACCTTAAGCATATAAAAGGTTTTTTCTCTACTAACATTTGTTTGTAGTTTCATTTACAGTCTGTGTTAGGAATCATGATTATCACATTACGTAACCTGACATAAAAAATGCCTGAAGATATCCTACATGTGTTGTGAGTCAAAGTACCATGTACCATAATTAGAGTTGGAAATATCCAAGAAAACATGGGTTATTATACAAAAGGTCTTAAAGGTCGTCTTGAATACAAAAGACTAAGGAAAGTTACTAAGGAATGGATGGAATGCATGGAATAGCCGAGTGCCTCAGCAAAGAAGGTGTAATTTCTTGGATGGACGTTTTGTCCGGCATGATATCATGACGCGAGGTGAAAAATTAGCCATCATCCCAGATGTGTTAAGGAACGGACTGCTAAATTAGCAAGGCGTAAGCAGCTCTGACTCATCAGCCGTTTTTAACAACGACGTTCCGAAGGAGAGAAATGTTTGATGTTATATAACCGTATTTACATCGTAGAGCATCGTTATGCAACGTATCTGAGGAAGCACATGAGAGACGTTAAAATAAAAATCGTGCACTAAGGAGATTAAATTGTACGTTTTCAGTATGGCAACGACTTGTTCAACAAAGGCCGTATCATGAATGCTGCGTTCCGATTCGCTGAAACGTTAAATGTGGACTGCGTTATTTTCCATGATGTGGATATGTTCCCACAGGATGATCGCAATCCATATGCATGTCCACCTTTTCCACGTCATATGGGAGCATTTGTGAACACTCTGGGATATCAGTAAGATCTATTGAGTCTTGCGGAAAACTCCACTAAAGTGTTTGAAATTCCAAAAAACTTCGCAAGTGAGCACTCAAAGTAAAATTTGTAAAAGCACTGGCATAACTGTCTACCACTTCTATCTTCATAATAAATGTAAACTGAAAGTCGCTTTTGTTAACACTTTCTAGGGTCCAAACCTCATTAATGTTTTGACCTGTTTGATTTGTGTATCGTCTGAGTTTGAATTCGTCGAATAGATTTCTGGAAATTTCTGTTTGATGTCTGAGATTCTGAGTTTTGAAATTTGTTTTAAATACAATTTATTATAATTCTATATCCTACAATACGGAGCGACAATGCATAAAATAATCTTTCCATTAATATATGGTAAGCCAGCGCTCGAAAAGAAATTACTGAGAAATATAAAGAAAAAATGAGATTACAAATTCTGCATCAGTTTCCGGGGAAACTAATATTTCGTTTAGTACCTTCTTAGGTTGTTAAGCTAACACGAGATTGATAACAATGTTAGCTTAGCGATGTAACCTTATGTTAGCTTAACAATCCAAAGTTTTGATCATTATCATTGCCGAGGTTAAATGACGGTCGATTTGAAGAATATTACTTTGCTTAGTGCCTAAGGTCACTGCTGTTCATTCTTGCGAAGTCATGAGAAATCTTCTTTAGTGAATATTGAATGTTGACTTCTTCAATGTTGCTTTTTCCCAAGTCCACGCCTTTTTTTTAAAGATATTGAATTAGATCAGCAATATTTTATCTTTCACACTCAACATTAGTTTTTTAAAAGTTAGAATTTTTCAGACTATGGTACGAAGAGATCGTGGGTGGTGTGTTAGCAGTATCTATGGAAGATTATAGAGTTATTAACGGTTACTCGAATATGTATTGGGCATGGGGTGGAGAGGACGACGACATGGGTTTGTATCTATACTACATTTACTGTTGTCTTCTATTTTTAGCATTTTTGGAAACTATTACTGTTCTAATGATTTCTAATCGTACTTGTTTGAACATTCTATGCATTGTTGTACGACCAGATTATGCTGACGAGAGCTCAGAGTAGCCAAGAGGATATGTTTTCTTGTTGTTGAGTAACATAGTCCTACGAAATGAGAAGGTACTAATACTTTGCTGATGCTATAATAAGTATGGGGAAAGCGGAATAATTATTGTTTTTATTTTACTTTTAAAGCATTCATTTGCGAAGGCAATTTATCTATAACTACTCCTTGATCCTGTCGAAAAACAACACTGAATATTCTGTGGATATAATGCTGAGATATTTGCAAAACTCCGGACCGCAGGTGTATGTGGTGGGGAACGAACCCGCGCTGTTGTCTTTACCTGGGAGCAGCGCACTTCACCACCACATCATCCGGGTCCCTCGTTTTACCTGTTCCTCAACTAGTTCTATCGATCTGTGGATGGTTTCTTATTTTCGTTGTTTTTTTTTTCCTAACGTGTTTAATGGATGTGGTTTAGGAAAGAGGATTCTTTCGTTAAACTATACGATAGAGCGGCCAGATCCCGAAACAGGCCGATATTCAATGTTGAAGCATGTGAAGCGGAAACGAACTGCACCAAAACTCGTGTATGTTTTTGAGTGTTCGTATTATGTGCGGATCTTCACCGGAGAAATCTGAGTCTTAACTTTTAAAACCTTTCCTTCGTCCAATTTTGTTCAGTGAGAAGGGTGTATGCTACATAATACTACTCCTCATGGACATCTTAAAAGCATTCTCATCAGCATCGTATTTCTTCGTTGCTATATTTGTTAAACAAGCGAGGAGGGTTAGCGGAACTTATGTGTTTGTATTTTGCCATTCATAAGCTAACACGTGGTCGATAAAGAACTTTATTCGGCTGACGTTTCGGCGTCTTCGTCTTCCTCAATGCCAACGACCTGAGTCGTTGTACGTTAGCCGAATAAATTCTTCATCAGCCTCATGTTTGCATATCAGTGAAAGAATACATTTTGAGTAGTCAAACGGGGGTTAAAGGAAAGTCGGTTTGTGAAAGCATGTGCTTGTATTTCTGCAGCAGACGAGAATAGCTGAAGGCAACATTTATGGTCGGCAACATATGGCAACATTGAGACTACTGACAAAGCATAGTGCATCAATGCATTTGCGCGAACTTTGTCTTTCTGTACCTTTAAATACTGTATGGACCATTGTAGTATGGTCCGAGCTGCTTCTCATATGCTTCCACTCATTTGATTGCAAATTTTGAGCGATTAGACTTGAAGAATATAATCACATCGGTAGGCCACCGCGAGTCAGCGTGAAGGCCGAATGTGGATTCCGTCACCTCCAATAACGCTCGGTGAAGTCGAATGAATGGCGCATTTTTTGGGATGGATCAACGAGAGTTTTATTCTTTTATCCTTTGTTCCTCCTTATGACGTGATTAACAAATTTTCTTCGCTATATTTTTGTAGCGACGGAGGTACCACATATGAGGATCTCGAGCCGGTTAGTCGCGAGGTTACGTGACGCGTCCCCAGGTGGCGATAAGGGGTTAATCACGGACCAAAAGCTACCGTATGTTTCCTTGAGACGCAGGTGAATCCAGGGATGGACTGCCTGTTCCTGTTCTGCCGATTTGGCATACCCATTCTATATTTGAGAGGCGTATTCATGTGTCCGTGCGTGCGTTTTCAGTTATGATGCGGATTGTATTCTACGAGACAATTCGGCCGAAAGCCTGCCATCAAGTGACAGGGAATTATATTGGAGGCGATGAGAAATCGCCTCCAACAAACAAGCTCCATGTCTACTATAGGAGACATTAGCAACCTACCCGTTAGTACACTCAGCTGCCACGTTCAAAACACAGCAAGCTATACGTGGGTATCAAAATGCTTAACGCAGTGAAAGGAACGGGTGTCATTCTCCTGACCCCGAAAGAGCCTCCAATTTGGCAGCGTTGGGTAGGACGAGTAGAGAGAGGCTGCTAAAATCTCAGGGCTAATGGAAGATGCAGGATCACAAAGAACTAATGTGACGATCTGTACCTACAATGAACGTACACTTGCACCCGAGTCTTCTATAGGAGACTTGTTCATGCAAGCAAGAAGGATAAGGTACGAAGTCATCGGCCTGGCCGAGACGAGAAGACGCCACTCATTCAGTGCTGTCTATGACACCGGAGAAGAACTGTTTCCCGGAACATGCGACAGTAGAGTCGGCGGCGTCGGCGCTCTGGTCAACGTGAGTTTGTCCATCAATATCGATTCATTCGAACAACATACAACCCGAATCGCACGTTTACGACTAAAAAGATGTGGATCAATACCGGCTTTGACAATCTTCGTCGTTTACGTGCCGACATCAAGGTATGACGGAGAAAAAGTCGAAACGTTCTAGATGGACTTGGAGAAGTTCTACAGAGAACACCATACATTCTTCAAGGTCATCGTTATAGATTTCAACGCCATGATTGGACCAAGAAGAACATCTGAAGAAAGTCGCATTGGGACCCACGGATCAAAATGGAACGAACAAGATGAGCGGCTTCCTGAGTTTATCATGACGACTAAGACCATCCTTGGTAACTCGCAATTCCAGCAGCCCTACCCTCAACCTTGGAAGGAAGAGTCTCGCAGTGGAGACCATAACGAAATAGACCACATCATAATAAACCGAAGGTTTTGTCCAACCGATGTCGCTGTTGTCCCATCTCGCAGAAAGGAGAAAAAGCCGTTGAATTCAAAAAACGAATTCCCTAAAACAACTGTAAATTGGAACTTATTCAACTCATTAGCGGGCTTTTGGGAAGATGCCATTGTCGGTAACATCTAACTACAACAACTGACGTCCTAGCTTGCAAAATTAGAGGGAGAAGAGCAGCAGTAATACTCGAAGCTGCAGAGGCTGGGAAAAGCATTCGCAAAGCCCACCTATGCTTCGCAATTACAAGACCAAAGTGCACGCCGACGCACAGACGGGGCAGTTACAGCCTCCAGAAAGGCAGTGGAGAAAATTATTCACGAATAGTACTCAGATCTTTTTTAAACCCACGTCCACCTCCTTTCATATGAAATAAAGTAGGATGGATATGTTGTACCACCGGTCCTCCCTTCCGAAATCCGACATGGCATTTCGTCGGTGAAAAATCGAACAACACCAAGTACCGACAGGATATGATCTGAACACCTGAAAACTTTTCACCAGTCATCGTGAACACACTGACTCGGTTCTTCACACGTTACCCATCTGAATGCAAGGTCCCTACTCAGTGGAAGACCACCAACACCATGTCGTTGTTCAAGAATGGTGATCTACACGTTATCGGCAACTATCGTCCAATCTTCTTGCTGTCTGTCGTCTGCAAACTTTTCACTCGAGTCATCTTGAACAAGATTAACAGAACACTGGACCAAGGGCAGCCATGTGAGCAAGCAGGGTTTCGAAAAGGATTTAGTACGGTGGACCGTATCCACGATAACAAATCTCATTTAAGTATCGAGAGAGTACAAAAGGCCACTTTGTCTCGCTTTCATCGATTTAACGAAGGCCTTTAACTCAGTCATGGAAACCCTTGATAGTCAAGGAGTCCCTACTCAGTACGTAAACGTTCTTCGTGAGCTCTACAAAAATTCCACAAACCAGATTTCACCATTCTACAACGATATTAACATTGACGTCAAAAGAGTAGTTAGTCAAGGTGGTACCATCTCGCCAACATTATTTATCTTCACCCTCCAGAACGTCATGCAAACATTAGAATGCGATAATATGGGAGTGAAAATCGATGGTCGGCAGCTACACCATCCTCGCTTTGCTGATGACATCGTCCTTATAACACCAAACATTAGCAAAGCGGAACGTATACTTGACGACTTTGATAAAGCCTGTGGAAAGATTGGTCTTCGACTAAATCGCACAAAAACGATGTTCATGAAGAACGGATTGGTTTCGCATGCTCCATTCACGCTCAACGGAACGAATATCTGCGAATGCTCCAGTTATGTCTATCTAGGTCAGGAAATCAACATGTTGAATGACTTAGCTCCAGAGCTGAGCAGAAGGAAACGAGCGGTTTGAGGAGCTTTCAAGAGCATCGAGGATGTAGTGAAGAGAACAAAGAACACCCGACTCCATGCCCACCTTTTCGACTCAGCGGTACTTCCTGCCCTAACGTCTGCGTCAGAAACTTGGTCGCTGCGTAAGCAGGGTGAAAGATCACTCAGCGTTATTGAGCGCGCAGTCTAAAGGACAATCCTAGGAGTACCCATTTCACATAAGTAAGAAAGGAATCCGTAGCTGCGACCTGCGTCAACGACCAAAAATCAAAGATGCCGTTCTGTACGCCAAGCAGTCGAAGATATGATGGGTCGGGAATGTAATGCATATGAACAACAACCGATGGACAAGAACCGTTAGTGACTGGATTCCTGGAGATGTTAAACGCATTGCAAGAAGACCACCGACCTGAGTTCTTCACGAAAAGCCTAGAAGGTGGATATGTTGCTCAGTGATTCTCTAGAGAGAGCAGAACCCATTGGGCTACTCTTGCATGCGACATGGTAAAATGAATAATTTACTGGCGCCCGCTCGAATCACTCGACAATCAACGGGACTATAGGTGACGGGTGTTATTTTTATAGAGGAAAACTATCTGAACATTTTGTAAATCGTAATAGCATTTTCTTACGATTCCGCGGCGAGACTGTTTCTGGTGAGGAATACACTATAATATTAGGAAGCATGCTCACAATGCGCGGTTATTAATGTACTTCCACCCAGTGTGTTTGAGTGTGCTTTCGTCTCTCCACGATTTGTTTTCCACCACTCGTCGTTCTCTGTCCATATATTATTTTCCACTAGATACCCAGTTTCTTTTACCAAAAAGTATATTGATTTAATCGAAATCTTAGCCTTTTTATTTACTGCCTATTCTTTTTAACGGCAGGGTATTTTGCGAAATATAACTAATATAATGCTGAGATATTTGCAAAACTCCGGACCGCAGGTGTCTGCGGTGGGGAACGAACACGTTATTGTCCTTTTCGGGGAGTAACGCGTTCACCACCCCACCACGCGGGTCCTTCGTTTCGTCTGTCTCTCTGTATGTTCTGTATGCATGAAAAGGTGCACACGAGAACTTAGAAGATATGTAGAGCGTGAAGAATTCAGAAGCTAAGTAAAACATTTGGCTAAATTAATAAATTGTTATTGATTATTCATGCTGGGATTAAGTGAAAGTTGGTTTGTCGAGTTCAGAAATTTCTGGTAAAACATGGGTAGGTCGAATTTTACAGCAAAAAGCACAACAATGGTGACCAATTTTCTGGTGTTGGGGCACTGTGGGTGGTATGAGTTGATTTAACTTAGCAGAGTATGAAGCGAGAGATTAGGTGTCCTATACGCCACCAAACAGATTTATCTTCGCAGCGATTGTGTTTACTGCTTGATGGCTAGCGTTTCGACCCATTTCACCTTCTCTGGATCGGAGAAATGGTCGTGTTAACATGCAGTCTACTCAGTCAGTAATTTCCTAATCCTAGCGGGTAAAGCACATCTGTGCAGAATCCGCTCGAGATAGAATGTACTTATCTCTGGTCAAAGGGCACACCTAAAGGATCTGTGGAGGTCACGTATAATTATGTGGAATTTCTACCTTCGGTTCATCTTTGTGTTTTCGGAGTTGATAGTAAACAGTTCAAGAATACTGTGTGTTTATGTTTTAGATTCCGCTGGTTTCGCTTTTCTGCCACATTGCCCTACGACTATTTTCAATTCTTTACGGATCTGTTAGATTTTCAACATTACGCAATAATAGTTCGATAGCCAGAAGACTTGACGAGTTGAGAACTTCACCAAATTATAGAAGAGAATTAGCTCCATCGCTGTATTATTGTGAGTGGTGTGTATATGCCACTGTTTAGTGTATGTTACTGTGGTTCCTCATAGAAACACATCGCTGTCAGCATTGTTCTCACATTACGGATATTCTTCAGGGGCATTTGGGTATTAGATAGATGAGAAATTTTATGTTTTTTTTTGGGAGGGTTTCCACGTGGGAACTGCATTTACAAGGTCGCAATTTATTTTTTTTTTGTAAGTTGATTATTGAAATGATCTCAGGAAAAATGCATAGGAAGATTAAACCAATTTACGAAGGTCATAGAAGTTGTAAGTAAATGTTCATATTGATCATATCATGAAGATTCAGTTGAGAACTTCGGGCTACGCTGAATACAATGATTGTTATAACGCGTTTGTGTTAGATCCATTATTCGTAATATGTCAGGAAATTTGTGGAGGTGGTTTTTTTTTCGTCCATTTCATTCATCTTTTCAGTATTTTTTGTTTTCAGATACAAATTGCTTGATATTGCGGAGAAAAGAGTTGCATATGATGGATTAAATGAGACTGATAAGTGGACTATACGGAAGGTTCGCTTTCTTTGATACTGTTCAATTTTAAAATTAGCATATTTTTTTCCTTTTTTGTAGATCACCGTGCGGCCACTCTATTACCATCTATATGTAGACGTCGGTAAAGTCCCGGATGAATGGCGTGAGAAGAGTTAGTTGCAGAGATGTCAAAGAGATAGAGACAACAGAGATATAAATAGCAGAGATATATATATATATATTCGTTTAAAAATTTTTACTAGTCGCCAGTTTCCTTGTATTGCACTCTTTTCGTGAAATGGATCCAGAATGTGGCATCTCCCAAACAGGACATTGTAGACTTGAATTATCCTTTCCATTTTCATCATGTTTTTCGTGATTGAATAGAAGGGTTGAAGTCGGCTGCTACAGTTATTTATTCCATGTGATTCATTACTTGCTCATTCTTTACATTTGCTTCGAACTTGCTAGTGGTTAATTCTGTATTAGAATTTCCTTTTTTTTTTCTTCAAACAAGAAAATGTTGTCGAATTTGGAAATTAACCATTGGAATATTGAGCTAGTGGGAGTGTCACCGGAGGCCGCACAATGTTCACGAGGGTAGTGTATTCAGGTAACAAGCATAAAGTAGGTATATTTGCTTTCTAGAACCGGTAGTTCATCTGGTTCATTGTTCATATCCAGTTCTCTACGATGCGTGAAGATAGTCTTTCGTTCTTCCGTGTGTATTACAACGGATTATTACACTTTTTCGCAACTTTAGATTTGCCTAGCATTTATCGTTTTCAATGGATTGATGGCTACTCGTCGTTCATGTTAGTAGTTTTGATCTCGTATGCCGTGTTTCTGAATAAAATAAGTGTTCTACTCCTGCAGAAGCATAGGTATTGTTTCAATGGCCGTTGATTTAGTAGAAGTTTTCTATCGCTGTGTGGAATTTGGAAGGTAGTAAATGTTAACCATTATAACTGTTGATGCACTGCTTGAACTTATTGTTCTTATAATTATTTGAAAGGGAACGGTGGAGCGATTGGTGATGCAATCCATCAGGAAGCAAGGTGCTGATTGGACCCACTCCCCAACGCTCTCCCTCAACCCACGTGGAAACGCCTTAGCTAGGCTATCTCCTTGTCTGCAAGGAGAATCCAGTCGACCAGTATTCTACGACATTCATAAAGAAAACGGAATTTTCAAACAGCAGCCGAAAGAACATGCGAAATGTTCGAAAAATATTGCGAGCGTTGAATGCGAGGAAAAACTAATCCGATGCAAAAAGCGATGGGATCCGCAATGTGGACGTGATGACGGGTCACGCAATACGGAAGAATGAAGTTTGATGACTAGTAGTGGTTGGCCCAGCTCCGTACTAGACAGCTGCCATCCCATAAGGAGTGGACAACAAAAACAAAACTTACTGACTTGAATACTTGGGTGGGCCGTCTTCACTAGTGCGAGCCCAGCGAAATTTCCATTCGTTTCTTTTTCGCGCAATCGTCATACATGGTAGTGGTCTGCTTCCAACATGGTGAATTCTGCGATGCCCTTTCCGCAATCCTGAAGTCGTTGCCACCTACAAATGTAGATGGTTCACGTTAGCCACGAAATGCGTTTGCCCATCATTTTAGTGGGCTTCCAAAAGAAGGCTTTCATTTTTGCTTTTCGTCCATCTCTCCTCTGTTATCTTACTATTTGACCAGCCCATCTGTGTTTCGCTATCGATGATGAATCCCGAGGATGGGATAGGTTCCGAAGATCTGAGCTGCTCATCTCGGCTTGGCGTTGTGAGTGGCGGTTAAAATTCAGAAAACAACGTTCAAGGGCTCTGCGACTGATGCGCAGTATTCTTGACGTGGCTGAGGTATCAGCCCACGCATCCGCTGCATGACTTAATTCTTGGAGGACTTTTGAATCGAAAACGAGAACGCAGAATTATGGATCCATCTGTTGGTCGGTGGCTTCTTTGAGTGTCCCAAATACGGCCCATGCTGCTCTCCTGTCTAACTTCTCCTTCATTTTGTTCTCCATGTTAGTTGAACGCCTATGATACACATGTAGTGCAGCCAATGTAATCAGAACCATCCAGTTTGATTTGCTCACCTTTGCACCATAGGTTCTTCATGAACTGGGTCCTCTTCCGATTTATGCACAACCCAATCATTTTTCCCGCTCGGTTGAGTTCATTCACCATCTTCTCCGTTTTGCTGGTACTCGAAAACATGGCGATGTCATCCGTGAAACGAAAACTATATGCGGATTTTCCATCAATACGTATGCCCTTCTCATCCTATTCGAGTAACTTCATTATTCAGTGCAGTGCGGGAGTAAACAGGTTTTGAGGTATTATGTCACTTTTCGAATTCCTTTACCTATAGATGCTGTAAGCGGTCGGCGGAAAAGCTGTATTTTCGTAGTGCAATTCCGTTCACAGCCAGATAGAGTTTTTATGTTTTTATGCAGGACGGATCCACTTCTTCGTCGACGTGTGCTGATAGGATTGCATTTGTTTCGGCATTGCCAAACACTTTTTAATTTCGATAAACTTTAGAACAAGGTGCAGATGGTGATTCCGGCAGACTTATGTGACCCTTATGCGGTTTCAATGGTCCATGCGGCAGAATCCCTGTCGGAAATCTGCTTGTTTAACTGGTTGATCCCCATTCAAGGTTTTTGATGTGTTCGAAAGGATAATCTTCGTTGAGAGCTTATAGTGTACACTCAACAAGCACATTGAGCGGTGGTTACCAAGATCCCCTTTGTCAACCTTCTTGGGTGTGACAACTGTGCGCGAGGTCGTCCACTGCTCTGCGGTTTTCTCTTACTGAAGGCAAAATGTCATGTGGTTTACGAGAAGTACGTTTAGTTTGTGACCACTTGCTTTTAGGAAATCGGAGGTGATATTAGTGTGGCCTAGAGCTGTCCTCTGCTCATGCCTTTTATCGCAACTCGAACTTCATATGGTTGCATCTCAAGCGGTTTTTATCCCAACGGTTTATCTCCTCACCGTCGCTGTTAGGTTTTACAAGCCTACGAGCCACGGAGGTTGTTTCTTACTCTGCACGCATAATACCAGAACACTTTCACTCGTGGATCACCACGGTTTTCTTGAAACCGTAGATCGCACCAAATTCCTTGTGGTCGCCCTATCAAGGACTAAAAGCGGGAAGACCGACATGGTCCAATTAGATGATGGAACCACTGTCATTCGTGGAATGGACTCTCCATAACGAAATGTCGGAGGGGGTGGCTCTGCCGCATAAGCATCTATTTCCCTTGCATTCACCTCGGACGAAATCCTATCACCGCTCTTGGCCATTTATCGCCTCCAACTTGAGCGCCAAAACAAAATTAGTGTCGTCAACTGTTACTCACGAACTTGTACAGCCGATTAGAGCGAACTAGACGCGTTCTACAATTACTTGGAGGAAGTAATCCACAACGAGATATCCTCTAAAAAATTCGTTGTTGGAGACTTTATCACCAGATTAGAAACAGCCAACGGAAACGAATACAGGATAGGGTGATTGGAAATACGAGAACGAAATCAGAATGGAAAAGCATCTTATAGGACTCCTGTCCGCAGCATGTGTCTTCCATCGGAACCCATTTTTCGAGAGAGAAAGTTGCCGATAGGCATGGGAGATCTCCTAACGGCACCACTCATGCGGAGATCGATCATATTCTCACAAACAGAAAAGGGTGTCCCGTTAACACCTCAGTCGTAAGTGGATTCTGTGCTGGACCTGTTCAACGCCTTCTCATTTCGATGGTCCGATTTACCCATAAGGTAGAAAAGATCCTGCTACCAAGAAAAGCGAAACAAGTCGTATATGACTGCGATATTCTCAATAAAATCCTCTCTTCTTATGAAGAGCACGTGAAGGAGTAACCGACCAAGGACTACACGCTGCTTGTCAAGTGATTAAAACATGCTGAGCTCACCTCAGTTTAGAAGTTAAAACGGCACATCCTTTGCCGCTAAGAAGTTGCTCGAGAAGAAAAGGACGTTGAAGCTTGATCCTAACTGTAACACACCTAACACCTCTGAAAATAAATGTCAGCTGTAGAAAATCTTCGTAGGTTTCACAACGGTGCAAGCAGAAAAAGTTATTAGAAGAATCTCGAAAACGATCCAGTTTGACGAAGTGCTGTCTTGATCTCTGCGATTCTAATGTTCCACTATCCGCCCTCATGAACGAAGATGAGACTCCCATGACCGACTTTCTGTTAACCTCGGCATTAATTGATAATTCAATGTTTTTCATCAATAAGCAGACACGAGGTTGTTAATATAGAATTTATTAGAACACAATTGCTGACGTTTCGGCGGTTTCGCCTTCTTCAGAGCCTGGAAAGGTCAAATTGAGATGTGATCTACTCAGCCAAACACTTTCACAACCCCAGCAGATAAAACTTGACAATTCGATTTGCATTCGCATAAGAAACAGCTTCATTCAAACACCTACCGTTTATTTATAGAAATACCACTGGACACTCTAAGACGCCAGCTAGTTCGCAACCGCCTGTACGACCGTCTATGTACAACAAAAAACTGCATAATTTGCCCAAATGGTAGAGACGGTGATTGCATGAGTTCGGGTACAGTCTATCTGATCTCTTGTAAAGCGTTAAAGCGTGCGGGCACGAATATGTTGGCGAAACGGGTAGACCGCTCTGCGTCCGCATAAAAGAACACCTAGTCGGTAAAT